TATCTTACAAACAGATACACAGTCACATATACAGACATATATACAGTCATATAGACAGATAACAAAAATACCCTTATTTATTTATTGATGTACTGATCNACCCAGTACTGAGGCTCTTATTAAATATAATGCACAGGGGTTCAACCAATACACCAGCACACCTTCTTATAAAAGAGGGAGGAATATCATCAGGGCCAGGGCCCTTTGACACGTCGAGTGATTTGAGCGCCATCTCAACTTCCTCGACTGTAACGACTATTGACGAGATAGCAAAACTTGACTCGGGAAAGTCAGGTGTGTATGTTTCGTTCAGGGGTTCACTATAAACTGTAGCGAAATGCCTTGCGAATAAGGAAGATATGCCATTGCCATCATCCGCGATATCATCACCATAAAACATTTGACTTGGCAAATCGTTACTGGTTTTCTTAGACTTAGTGTAACTCCAGAAAGACTTTATGTCGGTTTTCAAGTGTTCTTCGATTCCCTGAATATAGGATTTAAAGTTCGATTCGTAGGTGGCTTTAACTCTTGATCTTAGCATTGAAAACGTATCGTAGTCGCGCGGGTTGCCGAATAGTTTGTATTTCCTGTGATATCTGTTCTTTTCCTTTAGTAATTTAAGCAAAGAAAAAGAGAACCATGGTGGATATGATTTTTTAGTTTTCTTTCTAGGGGTATATTTATCTATGCAGTTCCATAAATGGTCATAAAAAACTTGTACGAATCCATCACAGGAGAGGTCTGAATAGTCACTCCAGTTTACCCGAGCAAGTTCCGCGATGAGGTCCGAGTAGGCAGCTCGGTCGAACATGTATTTAATTTCATCTTTTCTTTTCACTTGATGTGCTTTGTGAAATTTTAGGTCTATATCTAGAGGTGGGTGATGGTTGTCGCATCGACTTAAGGTCTGCGACTCAGTAATATCGCAAGAGATGTGTGGCTGGCTCAGAACAAGATCCAAGATTCTATTGTTAACGTTTTTTACGAGGTTGCGCTGATTCATGCCAGTTCTTAAGAGAAACTCCTGCAGAATTGAGATTTTCCCATTCGATAAAATAGAAGAAGAAGCCGTGTCGGTCCAATCAATGGCCGGGATGTTAAAATCACCAACTATTAGGGTCTCAGTTCCAGAAGAAGAAAGAACGATATGTTCACAGTTATCAATGAATTCCGAAAAATCTTCTTGACTCAGGTATGAAGGCAAGTACACAGTGCAAAGATTTAGAACAAAATTTTTGAATTTTATGCTTACCCATAGATCTTCAACGGATGTCTGCCATTGATTTTTTTCGTGTGCTAAAAGACTTTTCTTAACTGCAATGAGCACCCCTCCCCCATGAGATTTATTGTATTTCCCCATAAAATCCCGTGATCGGTCCCTACGATAGACAGAGTATCTTTGATCAAACACCTCAGATGAGCTAACAGAGTCGTCGAGCCACGTTTCACACAAACAGATTATATCATAATTATTCATTAGCACAGAGTTTAGTAAATTGAGGGTTTTTGTTTTAAGCCCTCGTACATTTTGAAAATATATTGACAATAAACCCATAAAAACGCGCAGTGAAAGTATTTAAGATGGTATCAAACAAAAGACACACACAGACATCAAGTTAGACTCTGGAGAATCTGCTCACTCCTTACATGTATAAAGGGAGATGTTTCATTTTTCCGCATGAAAATTCTTCCACCTCGTACCCATACGAATTTGTAAGACAGCTCTTTGGCTCTTGCCCTGGTGGCCGCATGAAGTGCCTTATTAGCCGGAGAGAGGTGTTCGGCGACGTAAATGGGAGCATTTTCGCCGCCCATCCCAAGCAGAGATGAGCAGAGTTTCTTGTTAGGATGCGACCGGTTGTATCGTGCCACTGCGGAGTAGAACTCGTCGCGACAACGCGTACTTCTTAGTTTTACCACTATGGCCCTGGGTTTTTTACTGTCCTTATTTATACTGGCTACACGTGTGCAGTTCAGTATATCGGTGTCTTGTAATTTTAAGGATACCACATCTGCGATTTTCTTGACAATGTCGACGACATTCTCATTTTTATGTTGCGGCGCTCCCTGGATTTCGATGTTGTTGTCTCTTTGCTGCTGCTCCATGACGTTCAGTCGGTCCGATAAAGCAGCGACTGTGGACTGTAGTTGGGTGCATTCGGCTTGAATAATCTTGTAATTGTTTGCAAGAGTATTAGTGGTCTTGATTATGTCATCGTATTGCTTGCTAACGTAGTCAACGCTTTCTTGTAGTGTACTTAACTGCTTCTTGATTGGTGTTAATTCAGATCGAATTGTGGCCTGAATAAGCCGTATGAGTTTGGCATCAGTTTGCGAAGAAAGGTCGGCGTTAGTGGAGACCTTTGATTTGTTCTTGTCACGTAGTGTAATATTTTCTTCACGCTGCTCAGTCGTCTCATCATGATCAACACCACGACGAATTGGTGTACCATCTCCCTTAGGCAATTTGGTTTGACACTCGGGGCATGTCCACGGAGTCTTTCTTTTGGCAGAAGAAGAGTAGTATGTGGAGAAAGTCCTTTCTGATACGGCGGCACACAATAAATCATACGTGCCGTTGCAGGAGCTGCATTTCAAAAACTCTTTGCCGGAGATAATTGTACGACATCCCGCACAGGTATTAGTGAGCTTTGGCGACATAGTGTTTACTTATTCTTCACACAAAACAAGGAGAAATACAAAATAAAAAAAAAAAAATAAAAAATTGTTTGATCGTTGGTCTCGAACCCAGGTCTCCGAATTTGGTCGAGATTATCGTTCCGTACCGTTGCGCCAACGCGTCGCTTACGTCATTTCGTGAAATAGATGTATTGAAGAAGCGCGTCCAGGACTCACGATTGATCACTCTGCTCGGACGGCCTTTCTATTTTCAAGGTCAGTGGTCGCGTCGCTCGCTTGTCCAACGTCGGTTGATGTTATGATTTCGTAATTTTGACGTAAACGTTGCGAATAATTTTGCCAATAATCACCAGAGTCCAGAGGGTTTTCCGTAGATGAGAACCACCACTTTGCACTTCGCGCCGTTGTTAATGTTTTTAACCAGATTAATTTGTGATCACAACCTGTTTAGTATTAATGCAACGAAAAAATTTGACGAGCGTAGACGATTAGGATGTTGACCGCTCGGGCGGTCGCGCGCGAAAAAAAAGTTGTTGATCCGATTTAGTCATGTCAGATCCAATTATTCACTATGGGGGCTTTTAAACTCAGTTGTTACTAAACACAATAACCAAGATACTTACTACCAAGTTCTTTGTGTATTCTGGATATTTCATGATAGGTACCTTATTTTATCATTCAGTCTCGAAAACATTCATTAGATAAATAGTACCAGAATGATATTGTGTAAAGAAATGAAGCCGCTAAACTTGTCTTGCCATTTGCATAATGGACCCAAATCGCAGACGGGCGTCCAGGCTTGTTAGGTTTATGTTCGCGGTTCTTGCCGTCCTCTTACTGTTATGACTCGCTGTTACGGTGTTGCTTAATCTTTCATTGTCTATTCTATTAAATGCATAACGAAGTGGGTTTCACAACGGCTCTAACTCTGGTTTGCGTAGGTATTAAATTATAACGTAGCTGATGGCAGGTGTAGCTCTGGGGACAAATGTTGGTGTTATGAAAACTCAGAAGATTTTTTTACACTCCAGTTGAAATAGCACTCGTAAAACTTTACATAAGAGGCCTCAGGTAATTGGTGTATTTGTTAGATTATTATTATAACAACATAAATATTCCGTTAGAGGCTCTACATGCCGTATTTGTCAAGAGGCGATCTCCACTCGAGAATATTTTACCCATCTCTTATCGACTTGCTTCCATGTAAAGTTTCATAAGCATAAAACTGCGATCCCTATTCATGCCACTATCCATGTTGGGACGGCATTCTATGAACCGTAACATTTATTCTACTGAATTTTTAACCAAAATAAAGTTGTACCGTGCCGGAACTAAAGTTTTTGTTCCCGCGACCTTTACCAGATCGTCGGTCCACCTAGTAGGAGGCCTGCCCACGCTACGTCTTCCAGCCCGTGGTCGCCACTCGAGAACTTTCCTGCCCCAACGGCCATCGTCTCTACGAGCTATGTGCCCCGCCCACTGCCACTTGATTTTAGCAATTCTGCGAGCTATGTCGGTTACTTTGGTTCTCCTACGGATCTCCTCATTTCTGATTCGATCACGCAGGGAAACTCCGAGCATAGCCCGCTCCATCGCCCTTTGGGTGACCTTGAGCCTTCTTATGAGGCCCATAGTAAGCGACCACGTTTCGGATCCATATATCAACACTGGCAACACACACTGCTCGAATACTTTTGTCTTGAGACACTGCGGTATTTCGGACATGAGTATATGGCGAAGCTTCCCGAACTTCTCGTAATAATATTGTCTATTTCGGATATTTCGATTATTTGGACATTTTGCGTTCCGGTTGTCATTTTGAGAAGTTGTCATTTTGATGACTAAGCCGAAAAGATAGTGTTAGTTACGAGGCTGACAGGCACGCACCAAACTGGAAAGACTTGCAGCTCCAGAAGAATGTCATGCGACATGACACATACACGAAGAATAAAAATTTCCATTTGAAGTAGTCAAGAAGTGTGGCGTGACAACGTGCAACCTGCCACAGGCTTACAATGCCGCAGCCGTCTGTTTAGATTTTAGATTCGGCCAGATCGAATTGGTTGGTCAGGATATGATAGATAAATTACCTTTTTTGATTTGATTTGGACCTTAGACAATGAGGGCTATCGTTTTTATACTTAACAGTTGGCACTCCTGGTGATTGACAGGACCTTACTCTACAATGGCGCCATCTTGATGAGTGCAAATGCGATAGTGCTCCTACCACTTTAGCACTCACCAGTTGGTGCCACTGTCTTCGCTACTAGCAAGTGACAGGACCTTACTCTACAGTGGCGCAAACTGGTGAGCGCTAAAACGATAGCCCTCATTGCCACCCCGGCGGGGTCACTGACCTGAGCTGCGGCTCGCGCGCGCGCGCCAGCACGTCGAGCGCGTGGCGCAGGCGCAGGTGGAAGGCGGCGAGCGCGGCGGCGCGGCAGGGCGTGCCCGCCGCCTCCGCGCGCTCCACGCCGGCCGCCGCGTTCTCCCAGCCCCAGCCCCAGCCGCACAGCGAAAGCGCGCGCGTACGCTCGCTGCTCCTGCAAGCCACGAGAATAATATTCATTATCGGAGACCAAACAGTAATGAAAAAAAAAAACAGACAGACATGACGAATCTATAAGGGTTCAGTTTTTTTCCATTTGGCTACGAAACCCTAAAAAGAGACAACAAAAGACGCTATAAAGCGATTTTCCTAACGACCTAGGGAGAGGACAGAATGTTATGCTTCTGCAACTTCTGCAACTGCAACTTATAAACATGAATACACCTCCACCAACGTGTCGAAGAAGCAACACAACTAAAAAGAGGCTTCCTGTACAAGTCCCAGTTCATTCGCCGTACCAATCCTTTTGGTCCTTCAAGCCGGATTCGAGGAAACTTGAAATATGTATTTGCTGCAAGAAAGCCTTTTCTACAAATATAAGAGCAAGCTGTACAGCACCTGTAGACAGTCTGGCGTCGATGCGGCAGGTCGGGCAGCAGGCAGGGCGAGGCCTCTGAGCGGTAGCCGCCCTCGCCCGCCGCGCGCAGCACCGTGCGCACGCCCGGGTGCTTCCACGGGCTGTTGCGGATGCACCCTGAGGAACGTTACACTGGTTGACGACAGGTAAAAATGGCTTTTATAAGATGTTCGCGCGGCGAACACGCGGCGAAAACATTGCGCAGCCGCGACGTGTTCGCGTCGCCGCTCCGCTTTGAAAACGCTTAAGCAGGGTACTCATCTAGCCGTGTAGCATGTAGTGTATCAGATACTGTATCAAATGAGTATATTGTACCCGCTGCGAGCTGCTCGCGCGTGGTTCGCAGGGAGATCGCAGCGACCCGCCGAGTGGCGGTATCACTGCGAGCATAAAGGAGGCTCGCAGTAGGATTCAGGAGCTCGCAGCCAGATACGCGATAACCGTGGCAAGCCGTACTTACTTGAAGGTTGGTTACGTTACATGCTACGTTACGTGCTACATGGCAGGTGAGTACCCTGCATTACAATCCGCCAGTGTAGCAGTTCACTAATAGAACAACTTACACGTCTTCGACTAGACAAGTCAACGGCCAAAAATGGGCTCTTACAACATACCATAAGGAACAACTTACTATGAACATCTGAAACATGTGTGGTAAACTTACCATCTTCGACTAGAGATTTGCTGAGCGCCAAGAAATGCCAGAGTCCACTCAATGCTTCGTCGTCAGCCAGGTCAGCGTTTTGCCATAAATCAGGCTGCAACACACAAACATGAAATAACAGCATACAATGAGAAAAAGAGACACTTTTAACCGACAGACAGTTGCTTCAGTGAGTTTTGTCGTAATATCATTTGAAGTCGCTGACATAGCCCGACGAATTAGCAAGCTGAAGTAGCAATGAGCAGGGCACATAGTACGCAGAACTGACGGCCGATGGGGCAGCAAGGTTCTGGAATGGAGGCCGCGTACCGGAAAACGCAGCGTGTGACGTCCACCTACAAGGTGGACCGACGACATCGTAAAGGTGGTAGGGAAGCACTGGACGCAGGCCGCTACCAATCCATCAACGTGGAAAGCATTGGGGGAGGCCTATGTTCAGCAGTAGACGTCCTGTGGCTGAGATGATGATGTTGATCATTTGAAGAAGAATTAGACCAAATCTCTGGTTGACGAAAACTCAAAAGAAAGACGATTTGAGACTACGAGCATACCTTGAGCCCATAATCGGTCTGCGCGCGGCGGCGCATAGTGTAGGAGATGTCGTGCAGGTCGCGCTGCTGTGCGTCGGGCAGGAAGCGCAGGCGCCCGCCGCCGCCCGCCCACACCAGCCCGCCGCCGCCCCACGCCACCGTCACGCGCTCGCACACCGTGTAGTCGCACACGCCGCCTGCCGGCAACAGGGGGCGAAGTGAGAGTTAACGTCGTCTCACTAGTGAGCGCGTAAAAAAAATATATTTAAATTTATGACGGATTGGAGCACCCCTCGGAAACTTCCAAGTACTAAAATTTTCATATATTTTTTCGACAGTCAGGGAGGAGGTGAGCAAATACTGTACCAAATATAAGGAAAGGCTGAAACATCACACAAACCAACTCGCTAGAGAAATTGTGGAACAAACCCACAAGACCACCACAAGACTGAAAAGATGGCAAATATTACAGTTGGACCAAAGATGCTAGTGGCTTGGACTGAATATTGGAAGGCTGGACTAGATTGCTACGTGAATTAGTAAAAACCGAGGGAGAGAATTTACTGGAATACCCCTCCTCATGAACACAAACAAAAAAGCAAGACAAAACATCTGATTATGACCTAAGTCGATTGCAGGATATAAAAAGGGGAATAAAAAAAAAATTTTTAACGCTCTCACTAGGGAGGACGTTTGATGTAAACTCACACTAAGCCCTCAGGGATGCGAAGAGCAACTTAAAAATAGGACGTGAATTTTATTTTATTGGAATGAATGCGAGAAACAAGAAACAATAGTGACTGGGTTTCTTGCGCTGCTTCTTCTCAACACTGGCCCATTTATTGTCCCGAAGCAGTGGTAGGGTTAATATTGGGACGAGTAAAAGTGCTTTTTAAAAGCCTATTTGCAAAAATAAATGAGTTTTATGAGTTTTAAGAAAACATTCTGCACACTCACTGCTGCCGCCCGTTCGCACAGTCGCGACAGCCATATAAGTACGCACAAGCGATAAGGATAGGTAGCTTGGGGTCATTGGACGAAATTCTACGTGCTCGGCGACCGGACTTTAGCTTTAGTTAGTCGCGACAGCCATATAAGTACGCGCGAGCGATAAGGATAGGTAGCTTGGGGTCATTGGACGAAATTAACAGCTTATTAATTCGTATCTTTCCAGCGATATTGAAAAATGGCGACGAGACGAAAATAATTGTTTGCACACGCACAGCATATGAAGCTAAACACCATGTCATGGCATCTAATGTAGTGCAAATCATTATGTATTGAGATTTTGCAACAGAAATGTGAAGTCTATTCGTAATTCTATCAAGATCTTCAAGCACGATATGGAACAGCAATCGACGAGACTCACCTGCGACATTGACAGCCAACAGACGAGCTTCGTGCGCAGGGTGCCAGCAGAAAGCCGCGAGAGGCGCGGGCGCGGCGGCGGCGGGCGCGGGCGGCGCGGGCGTGACGTCGCGCTCCAGCACGCTCGGGCCGCGCTCCGGCTCCTCGGGCTCCGCCTCCACGGCGCCCTCGGGCTCCGCCGGCGCGCGCCCGCCCTGCTGCACGTCGTGCAGGCGCAGCGCGCTCGCGTCGCGCTGCAGCGACAGCAGCAGGTTGCGTCTGCAGCAACGTCGCATGCTCAACAAAAATCTACGGGTCGGCCTCAGCCTCGAATTTAGCGGGCAGCGGCGCGGGCAACGCAGACCCGTTCTCGAAACAAGCGGGCAGCTCACGCGGCGCTTTAGCGGCGAAGTGTTGTGTTCGGGGTTGTGTTGTCGAGATATTTGTTTTTATTCGCAAACGAAATGTCTGAACAACGGCGTCAATTTTATTTCGATTCAAATTTATTCCTAACGCTCGATTTATTGTGGGCAAAAGAAGGAGTGCGCTGCCCGCTCGTTGCCCGCTCCTGCGCCGCAGCCCGCTCGTTGCCCGCTCCCGCGCCGCTATTTTCGAGAACCGGTCTATTAGATTTTACGCATAAGATCCTGCCGCTCCCGCGCCGCTACCGCCGCCGCCCCGCTGCCCGCTAAATTCGAGGCTGAGGCCTAAGGCTCAAGGTCCAAAGGGCGATGGAGCGGGCTATGCTCTGAGTTTCCCCCGTGATCGAATCAGAAATGAGGAGATCCGCAGGAGAACCAAAGTGAACGAAATAACTCGCAGAATTGCTAAAATCAAGTGGCTCGTAGAGACGATGGCCGTTGGGGCAGAAAAGTTCTCGACCGCGGGCCGGAAGACGTAACGTGGACAGGCCTCCCACTAGGTGGACCGACGATCTGAAGGTCGCGGGAACAGCCTGGATGCGGTCGTTATGGAAATCCTTGGGGGAGGCCTTTTTCCAGCAGTGGACGTCATTTGGCTGAAACGAACTGCGTGTTTAACACCAGTGTAGACGTCACTGAACTATCGACTGCCACGAGCAAGGGTTGCAGCAGAGTAAATACAAATGAGTAGGTCATCTTCATAGAAACGCACCGAGGTTTGTTTTGCCAACACGTATGCGACGCGCACGCACACACTGACAAAATTTAGCGGTGAGGTGCGCCCAATTTTGTCAGTGTGTGCGTGCGCGCCGCATACGTATATTGGCGCGCTCACATACAAACCTCGGTGCGTTTCTATGAAGATGACCGACTCATTTGTATTTACTATGGTAGCAGGGCCACTGACCTGGTGGGGCACCACTGGATGCGCGTGACGTGGCGCGGCTGCGGCAGCGTGAGCAGCGGGCGCTGCAGCGCGCGCGCGTCCCACACGCACACCACGCTCTCGCCGCGCGACGCCAGCTGCCACGGGTTGAAGGGGTCCGAGCACGCGCCGTAGCAGTACCGGCTCGTGGCCACCAGCACGCCCTTGTTCGATAAGTCTGGAAGTAACGACCTCCATCCAGCGGCAGAAGACTACAAGTCCTTTATATCCAAATAAAGAGATGACGAGATTATAAAGAATAACATAACACAGATTTGAGGGGAGAAACAAATGAGTCCAATGAGATTGGTGCAATGCAGGACACAGCCACATTCCTTGCTGCCAATTTTCTTTGAGCATTTACTAATTTAGATAAAGAAAATTAAACCAATATATGAAGATCTTCAAAGGGAAACAATTTCACTCACCTCTTAGATCAAATATCTTGATATATTTAAGATTGACACTAGCCAGCAGAGTACGGTTGGAGCAGTTTGACCAGGAGACATTGTGGGCTGTCTCCGAGAGACCCATCTCTGCTAGAGGCTTGGCTGAGTCAGGTGTAGGTACCAAGGCTGCTTCTGCACCTGTTGGTCAAGATCAGTTATAGTTCAAAATTATTAAAATTTACAAATGTATCAAAGTTACATCAAAACAAATTACTTTTGGATTCTTCAGGTGGGGTAGAGCCTCTGTTCACGTCCCACAGTAGTATGCAATGGTCGCTGCGATGTTTCTCCATAGCCACTGCCAGCAGGTTTGTTTCCACGTGGCTCCATGACACCGAGTTGCAAAGCCGAGAGTATCGGGGAGCTAGTAACAAAATAAGAGTCAATTATTCTTAATCATTTACTTGCATTACTTCAACAATAAAACAAGTTTTTTTAAATGAGAGTTCTCAGCAGTAAGATATGTAGACAGACAACTCACTGAACTCCCTGCCGACCAGCCCCAGCGGGTCGAGGGTCTGCTTGAGCGCGGTAAGCGACACGCGGCCGCTCGCGTGGCCCAGCGCCAGCAGCGGCTCCGCCTGCTCCGGCGCCGCGCTCACGTCCACGCAGCGCACGCCGTTCGCGCTCTGCGACGCAATCACCGTCGCCCCGCGGTTGCCCGATATCTGAGTGACTAACGATCACACGCCCCAATCAAAAACACAAACTATAAATATATAATTAATCAAAACCGACATCGTGAGCGACACAAATAGGACGAAAACCACTTACAAGCAGTCTTTTTCTCAATATCTTTGAGTCTTGAAACCTGGTACAAGGTTATGTCGGAACCCCAAATAATAAACTTGTCATGGTGGACCGGGGACCAGATTACTTCAAGTTTACCCCCCGACATCGTTTCCATCGGGTTCCAGCTAGTTCAGAACATTAATTTTATGAAAATATTGTCCCAAAAAATTTACGAGGATGTTTTGACGTTTGACACTTGACAGTCAAATTTTGACATTTGCGTTTTGTTTCAGTTGCAAAGGATGAAAAGTTTGGAGTAGTAATTTAAAATTAAACGCAACTTGGATTTCTGAACGAAAAGTGGGAGTGATACCAGTCCAGAATAATAATATCCTTGGAAATTTTATGAAGGTACCTAAAGTTAAATTAAACTACTTTTATTCTGCGATAGAAGTGCAGACATAAAGAGAGTGAGTGAAAAAGAATAAAAAACAAAAAAAGGTCACGCAAGCACGCACAAGGTAGATGTTTTAGAGCAAAAAATGAACGGGTAAAAATTCTTCTTCTAAAGTCTGGTCGCGGTCGCCGAGCAGATAATGCTAAGAATAGTCATTAAAAATTAAAAAAAAAATCATTTTAAAAGTGAAGCCACAATGATGCATGGACTTCTTGGCGGGAATCTGAAGCGTCATGTTAGCGGTTTTGTTTTATTTCCTCAAATTCGTGTGTGGGCGACTATTAATGTGTAATAATGGTGGATTATTAACCATTGAGTGTTCGTGAACGTGCATGGGTGTGGGCAAGTGAAGCAAAACAGTGCATCGTGATTCTTCTGGTTCTCTCAAGTTGTCCATAGGAGGAGGTCTCAGTAAAGCATCACAACTTTACTGAGACTCAAAGGGTGGGAAGGGGTATCATCTATCATCCTTCATTATATCATTACTTGATCTCATTTTGTAACTCGTATCACATAAATACTTGAAAATGGCACAAATCAAGTCGACCTCGACGTGTATTGCCAACATCATCAAAACAGAAGAAGAAGAATAATGCATGAGTGCATTGTGAATATGATGATGCCTGTGCAGCTGTCTTGCAGAAGTTGGTTTGCCGCAGCTATTTGCACACAATGGTAAACAGCTTGCAATTTCAACATTATGCAAGTTTTATTCACGGAGGTCCTCCATGGTTTTATTGCTAGTCTAAGCCTGTTTATAATTTATTTCCCAATCTTGAAAAGACTACATTTTATATTTTTTTCCCCGTAAGATGGGTAAATAAGTTATTTTATTATAATAAATAGAGGGCGCTAGCGCTACTCGGACGGACAGCGAGTGATGCCACCCTTCGAATTCGTCATTTTTGACAGGTTTGCGTAAAGTGAAAAACTATTGACGAGAAAAGTGAAATCAATTTGTAACATAACGATTAACAAGGATAAACTGCAGCCGCAGAAGCTTTATTGTATAGGTAAGTCAGAAAATAAAGTGTACCGCCGTTCTGAAAGTGTAACAATGCAGTACCGTGCCGTATTTAGGTTCAGTGACGTGATTGTTTACTAGAATGGCAACGCCTCTCGTTCTCCCACAGTTTCTCGCGCATTGTCTTGCCGTTCTCACGTGTTGGTACACTTTTCCCGACCCGATTCATCGAGACGACACTCGGGTCGCGCCTGCTGTTTGAGCAGTCACATCGACTCGGGCTATCACTGTTATTGTGAACTCCGTGAGTCACGAGCCTCCGAATGATTTTCCGTCAATTTTCCTAGAGTTGGTCACAGTTACTGAGAAAATAATTAAAGAGTACCTGAACCGTGAAACGATTGAAGTTGTGAATTGGTGTGATGTCTCCATAAAGTCAAATTCTGAGTATTATGGGAGTGTGGTGGTTACCTTCTCCTCTCGGCGGGAGAGGATGCTGAGTGTCCAGTTATGTTCTCTGCTCTAGCGTATCAGCTATCTACCACATTTTTAGAGGAGCAAAAGGTATGTTGTATGCAGTTAATTACAATTTAAAGATTCCTGACGAATGACTGATATCAGAAAATGTTTTAGTAAATGTTTCTAACTTCAAATGATCTGATCATAAGTAATGAGAACTCATTAACAGCATATTGAAACAATGTCTTGTATGTAATGTTATTGTGAATAAATTTTCTGATGTCTAGCGTCATAATGAGTAATCTCATTAGACTTGAGGCAAAAGTAATTAGCAGCTTATTTGCTAAGAAACAGGAGGCAGGTCCTGTAATCTATCATTAACCTGAACAAGTGATTTTTGTAATCACACATCACTATCTGCATATTTTTTTAATTGCAAGTTTAAAAAGTACAATCCATAAGACTTTAAGAGTAGTTTACAACTGATTTTATTTCTTTTCTATATAGTCTTCAAGTAAAGGATAGTTGTTGTTATTACAAAGAATAACATGATATATTTCAGAATTTCGTTTTGTAATGAATCTAAAATAATGATATCATTCACTGTTAACTATTATAGCAATTATTGTATAAAATCTGTTGTTGGTTTCTAATTAAAAGAAAATGTAATCAATCTATTATTGAATTATGCTTTGAAGCATAACAATAATTATAAGAGTTCAGTGTCCTTAATTGGTATCTTTCATGTTTGTGGGCAGTATACTCCGTGCATTGTCACCAGTTTCTATTTCTTACCAAACGAAGTGGAACACATGAACTTTTTGCATTCATCTGCTGTCACTGCACCGCTGTGTTTTTGCGAGTCTGCACTGTTATTGTGTTACACGCACATACCTGTTCACATTGATGAAGAGCAGTCATGCAATAGTTATAGCTAGGAGTAGATCACCCCAATCAATCAATTTTAAAGCTAATAAAATCAATGATGATTAATTGTTAGTGTTTCCTTCAAACATACCTACTTAAATTGATCTTTAATTACATCCCATTCTTTATTGCTTCAGTAACAATCAATCAGCCATCCGCTATTATAAATAAGTTATTGTTTCTGTTGAAATAAGTTATTTTTGGTTCATAAAATAGACCTGTTATTCCAACCAAAGCACTCAATTATTTTTGTGTGACTAGACTTGGACAACAGTAAATAAGATATTTACCCTCCCAATGTTTAAAATATTATAAGACTTTCATGTTTTCCATTCAAAAGGCGTTGTTCTTTAATTTGCCTGAAAACAAAGAAGTTTATCCCTATCCCATAAGCTTTCCAAGTAATCTACACTAGTTTGAATGTTGTGTGAATCATCCCACAATTTCTCGTTATCAGAGCATCGGTTGCGCTCGAGGAGGTTTTAGGGCCGCCGCGCCGAGATAAGCCCAGTGAATGTCGTATCTTGATATACGTCACTCAGACCGTCTATTCGAAACAACTTTTTTCCACGTCAGACTCATAATATGCCTGGTGTATCAAACTTAACGGAAAAGCAGTTTTTCTAAAGCTGCAACATTCATAAAAGTTCCTCTGATCATTTTCGTTACCCTCCTTGGGTCCTGTTAAAACGGTTTCCTCGTCCAAGTTTTTTTTATACATATATCTTAATCAGTCATTAGTATGTGCGACGAATTACGCATATTTTGTTATAAGCAACTGCCTCTTAAGGTTCAGCCAAATCAACGCAATTAGCCGCCGCGGCGTGCAGCGATGGCGATCAATGCTTTTAGGTCTGATCCCCATCGCTGCACGCCGGCTGATCGCGTTGGTTTGGCTGAACCTTTCTTATGGGATGGGATCGAAGATCGAACCTCTATTTTCGAGGTACCTTCTAAGTTATAAGTCCTCTTTAAGAGACGTGAATAGCGGTATTGGGCAATACGACAGTTAGCACATTTCATCTCTAAACTCGTGTTTTTACGAGATCGAGCTTTCTGTCGGTTCTACATTCAATTACTTACATCTGCAAAATGAAAGAATACATTATTTATTGATGTCTCTAGCAAAAATAAAATGTTTAAATTTATGTATGATGTGGTGAATGAATCACACATAATTGCAATCGGAAGCTTAATTGGTTTCAGTATTTATTACACCCGACTGGTACTTATTTGTAAATGTGGTCTCTCGTACCAGGTCCGACATGGCACCGGTGAATAAGTAAAACAAATAACATCCCATTTGGCTGTGCACGAAAACAAACTAACCCAATACATGCAATTATTAGAATTATTTTACAGAATCATCATGGCAGGATGTTCTTCACCAACGGTCCTTGACTCCCGCAACGTAGAGGGTATATCTTTATCAGTCCTAAAATAGAGGAAAAAAAAGCATCTCTTGGCGTCGGTTTTGTTAGGGAAGTCTTCAGTAAAGTGCTGTTATAAAGCACGTTCATATAATTTATAGGTATTGATTCGCAATCTCCACTACACCACACCAAAAACGTGCGCGAAAATAACGGAACCCATATGTGTATTAAAACGCCGATTTCTATTTTAGTCACTTTCACTGAATTCACCTTTAACATTAAGGTAATGGAAAAAGATCTCCTTTCTAGTCTGGGTTTCTCTTTACGACACTGTCTGCAGTTATTTCACTATTTTATAATCTTCATAAGATGAGATGGCTACTTTGTGGCTTATGGTCATTCGTTGGACATTGTATTACAGTACTGTGCTTAATGTGACGCATTGCACATGGTCATTATCTTTTGTCAATGAATTTACAGCTTATCATTTTCCCGCTGCACATGTACCGTTGCTTGGCGATAAATGTCAACCGTGATCAGCGTTGCCAGTTTTTTTTTTCGCCAAGTCGGGACTTTGGTACTTTTTGAGTGAAAACAGCGGGATTCTTCCGTCAGAAACGGGACATAGTAAAAAAACGTATAATAATCAAAGGTTTTCAAATATTTATCTTTTTATTTGACTTAAAATTACGTTTACGTGACAATAGATAGCAAAAGTAGCTATAGAAAATGTATTTTAACAATAAAAATAATATTTTAAATCAGATTTAGTACGTACGCCACGTGCGGTCGAGTTCTCTCCGAAAAGCGGGACCGAGCATGTCCCGCGCGGGACATTTAAATTTGATTTAAAAATCGGGACGTCCCGCCAAAATCGGGACGTCTGGCAACGCTGACCGTGATATACCTATGTATTTTAATGTTATTGACGTCATGTGAGAGTATTCTTGACTTGTCTGTACAGTTGTTATTGTTCCTGGGACTCCTAATGAAATTTGCTTCAACAGTCATAGTTCACATCATATCGCTCTCTAACTAGCTTTCAAAGGCATTTATTGTCTTTCACTGTATCCAAAGTGCCATGTTCCAAATGCAATTGCATACTACTGACTCTTGCACTTTTCCTTTACAAATTGTGTTAATTGTTATGGTAATTGACCCATTTTCGAAGCCACAAAATGCGTTCTTTATACCTTTTCTTGTGTATTTGAGTTATCCGTTCTATATGAAAATTAACTGCTTTACATTACATTGTTGCTCGAATAAAACTACGTCTGGTGTGGTTATATGCGAGGATCCATCTGTTCCATTTATATCGATCACGTGTCTTTGATGGCCGCCTGCTGTAGTCATTCGCGATGGGGGTTACGCTGTAGGCCCGAGGAATGCCTCAAGGGACGCCTACATTATACTCGTCACATTTTATTTAACTCCGACCATACATAGATTGATGAGTCATAGAAGTTTTTAAATTTATTTAAGTATCTTCCGTCTGTCGTAGCTGCCCAAATAAGAACTCAGAATATCAGACTTTTAGACGTTTATAGCACTGCTTAATTGATCAAGTGAAATTTTTAGACAGAATAAGTCATCATGATCAAAATATGATTATTTTATTAAGACTTCAATCTTGCCTGTTCTTCACGGCTTTAATCTTGACTACGGCAGTTTTCTTGGCTCTATCCGTAATGTTGTTGTCAACATAATGGATGGAGTGCGTCAAGACGAAACGCTATGCGCCGACGCTGACTGCACCGTTACAGCGGGAGTGCGTAGCCGACCCGGGAGACAGACGGACGGTTTAACGGTTCTAAACTTGGCTTTGTTTCCTCAACCAACTGACCAACTGGACTAGCATAGGAATGACGTTGACTGAAGTGATACAAAACACGCGAAAGCTAGTCTATGCTAGGGTGCATTGGCGTATATGGGTTATACATTTGGAAAATCTTGTTTTGTATGGGATGAACGCTCATTCATGATGAAGCTCCAGACAATAATTTACTGAAGACAAAAACAATAACACTCTCAGACGCTTCAATATAAATACCTACAGCATATTATTTGTGAATCACTTTTGTTGATCGTGAAAACTTTTCTTCAGTTTTTTTGGGTACAAAGTGTTATTACTCACGAATCTTTTGTTATTACCATTACGCTAATAATGGACTACTGTTACAATTGTCACACGGTCACGGGGTCCCCAGTTACAACTGAAGTTAAACAAATCAACACTTAACTGTCCTAAATGCGTGTCACTATACTTAGCATAATGACTAATCAACTACTTAAACCTTCCATCACAATCAAATTAAGGAATTACTATTTCACGTGTGTTAGCGGAAAATGCTCGGACGTGACTCATTAAGTTATGACTAACTCACTAATAGGTATTCATATTTCTCCATTTGGGAAAAATTTAAGCTAAATAAAAAAAACAATAGCGATATTTCAATTTTGTCAGCATCCCAACACAAGCGAGATAAACGCAAGCCCAATACATCGAATAGGTCTCGTACTCGTGCATTATCTGTAACTCAGGTCTGATAGAGCGATACTTGTATGTTATATTGTGATAAGAGTTAACAACTTCTATTACAAAGATTCTAGCTAGTGGGAATTGCGATTATGATGTTTTCAGAGAAAAAAACTAGATACGATGACCACCTACTTACACGTGGAAAACTAATTAACTACAATCTACAACCGCATCGTGAGAACATTGTCAAAAAGAGTTGTATGAATAAGGTCTATTCTTCGGCTTTGACGTAATTTGGGAGCCATAATCGCACCTCGTTTACGGCGAGTAACTGCAACCCATGTTACAGCCACACCACGCGCCGTTATGTGGTTGGCTGCAAATCGCTCAACTTGCAAATGACACTGTAACCTAAATACGCGCGTGTCACGACTGAAAATAATGACAGTCATAAAATTATAATAAAACATTGACAACTCCATCAACAGCTCAGTATGTAATTCTAACATGATGAAATCCAGACAGAATATACAAAAGGTCTTGAAAGATTGTTCAGGTTGCGCATTATTGGTTATTGTCGAAATACCTTGACCTATTCATGTTAGTATTTGGAATGTTTGAATGCACGACTAGTGAAAGGAATGATGCGTTTCTTGATGCTTGAATTACCTTCCCCCTGATAGTAATGTAGATGTTGTTGATGAAAACAATCTAGGTGTCATAATGATCATCACATGATAGTAACAAATAACATACGTTGAGGATAAAACAAATGAGATATAACTGGCAAATTCATTGTTTCCATTCCCGTTTCACAATTACATCAGCAGCGGTCAGTTGCGCCGGGGACACGCACAGAGGAGGACATCACGCGCGGTTAATTGATATAGCTAATTACCATGGGCTTCTTTTGCGTGAGTATAGTGACGCTGACGCGCCGTCTGCCCGCGCTGAATCACCCGCGATTACATAGACAAGGTCAGTGGTAATTTAGCCATTGTTTGCATCCGATGCTGCGGCTGCAAGTGTGAGATAAGCCAGCATTAGGTCTGCTTTGTCGGCCAATCTATATATTTGGTATACGACCGGCATCTCTATCGACTTATATCCATATCTGAATAACGAGCATCATCTCCTCAGTGTACGTCTTGAAATGCATCGTATTGCTTTTTCAGATCACGTTTCTGTTTTACGACTCCAGTTTTCCACTTTATGATTTCCCATTGAATTATTCAGCTGAAATGAAATGAGCAGTTCTTTACAATTTGCCATTGTATCCTAAAATGAATAAGATTGTTCGTTTAGGTTGACGGACTTAGTAACACCCTGCCTGAGTTGCGTGCGGATGATTTATAGGTTCTCAATGATTTGATATCTCTAGAGATAAATTGGACTGATGTTTTTAACTAACCGCATGCAGGCCAAACTCGGGCACTGAGGGTTCCGTACCTATCCTTATTCTCATCCTTGTGAGACTTGTTGATGGACAGACGTAGTTGGTGACCTTTTTTCCTTTTGCGGTCCCTAAAAAGTGTAAAACCTACAATTTGTATAATGCTAGCGAATATAATAAGTGCAATTTAGAAGTTAATGAACAAATTATCATTTAATTGTGTTATTTTCCTGTTATAACATATGGTTTATTTATGAAGATGTTTCATGCGTTGATAAAATGAAGTTAATTATCTACACGCTGGTATATCCACGTTTTCTTCATCTTATGTTTTCCTTTAGTTTAGTTTTTGCTACCATTTGGTATGACGAATAATCGATTAATTTTTTTCGCGTTATTGTACTTTAGTGGTCGTAAATGGATATATTATCCAGGCTAATCAGGCCATTTCCCATGGCTTAAACCTAATGGACGCGCAACCTACTCTACTTCCCAATAAACGAAATACATGACTCGTCCTAAAAATAGATCCTTGTTGGGTGTTGTCACAGTATCGATTTCATCTTGTCCCCATTTTTTCGAAAGGCAGTGTTCGCAAGTACATTGTTGTAATCACTAGTCGGTGCAATGATCAGCGCGAAAGTGTTTTCGAAAGGTTAGCCGGTCTATAAACAAAGTAGCATTTCTTGTATGTGCATTTACTGTTTTCCCCTTTTGAAGGAGACTTGAAAAGCGGCATCGATGATGTCGAAAGTGTGAACGTGTTTGGAAAATTTTCCACTCCATTAATTATAACTTTAATTTAATAAAAAATAAAAACTCAAATACGAGTCAATATGGCCGTTTGCCAGTACCTAATGAAAAAAAAAATTCACTACATACAAATGCTCCCAATACTTCAATTCATACAGTTCTGCTAATCCGTGACCGTCCATGATGTGATAACGGGAAGTGTGCCGGAGCCGTCACAGTCAGCTAATTGCTGATTGCTGATTAGGCTTTGTTTATCCTCCCTTTTCGTATTCCGCTGGCAATACCACAATACCACACGTCACCTGAACAGAATGCGCGCGGAATGCGTTATTACCGCAGAATAGCTTTGTTTTTACTGCGCACTTTGGATCAAAGTGGAGTATGGAATCTGGTAGGGCCCAAAAGATAAGGAGACATGTAAAGTGCCCCATAAGGGCTACCTTTTCTTTTTTTTATTATTTTCTATTGACGTTCATAAGTGCCACTTGTGGTCTAAACTGAATAAATATTTTTGATTTTGATTTTTTGATTGAGTAGTCGTCGACATACTTCCTTATCTTGAAGAGTCGATGAACTCATGGTTAATTAAGGTAATGGTCATGTTTATGTAACCATAATGATGAACCTCATAATATTGAAAGTCTTAGTGTTGTTGAAAGATAATTGTCGCCATCGCATTGGCCTCCATAGCTTGTAAAAGTAGCCAGAGATTGTTATTAAATAATAAATTATTATTTTTTGTACAAAACAAAACTATAAATACATGATCGAAAATTAAAAATGTTTATTACACTACACGATAGCAGTTAAGATTTTTAAGTAATAAACAATGTCGTTTTTTTTCGTGAGACTTATTTACAAAAAAAAAAAACTAAATACATTTTATTTAGACAAATAATGTTTTTTATCGTGGTAACACTCCACTCTCAAAATTAGCATTTTGTTTGCTGATGCAGTTGCCAATGATAATAATGATGAAAATTAACATAAATCTTTAAATTTTGCCGCTGTATTTGTTATTTTTGGTTTCAAGAAGACTGTTCGATTAATAACAACTACTATGTATGCAAAGTAAGTCAATTAGTATGTAAACGGAGTCTCGAAGCACTTTTACTGAATGGCAGTGGCCGCAATGAAGCCGTTCGTCGGCAGCGTTCTGCCAGTCGTGGAGGGTAATTGGCGGCAATGCCCGTTGCTAAATGCAGAATTGATTACTCATTTACGCAACCATTGACCGTGTCAGCTGCGACTGTAAGGAATCGTCCATTTTCTCCGTGATAATTAACATCGACTGGGTGGTAGCTAATCAGATTTCTCTGACGGTGGATGCAATCCTAATTTGGAGGCTTGTCGGTCAATGTCAGTCAGGTTTATTTTAAACAGCGTTTCCTAGAGGAATATAATCTCTATGGTATGAGATCATGTTATTCGTTTTTGACACGTTTGTGGTCGCCTTCAGTTTACGTCGTTACTACACCATATTTATTTTCTCTTCGGATTTTCGTAAATATTATGCAAAAGAGTTCGTTCTGTCAATCTTCAGTATTGGTAACCGTATCGGAACGTTTCAAAAACGGCTGCCATTAGCATTTTGTTGTCTCGATGGTATCGCCAATTTGGGCTCTAGCATAGTTTCGGCGCGTCATAAATGGTGTAGCGGTGTTTGACCTTACGAAAATATTTTCGCGTAGTTTAGATAATGAATATTATTCTTGGTTTGATGTTGATGTTACGAGTAGACCAGTAGCACCAATAGTGTGGGGCAATTTACATTTACCTCAGTGCATTTTACTGATAAGCGTCGTCGAGTCAGTTTGGCGGTGTGCCTCCTATCTTTTATGTAATTTAGGGAATTTAAACTGTTTGTTATCGGCTATTAAAATATATTGAACAACTGATAACATTGTTGTCAGTGTAATACTAACTTTACAGCTTTGATATTGTTCTGATAAAATGCCGAATTGGCTTTGCCGGTTAATATGGACTTGTAAATGCAGTGAAAATATCAACGGTGAATTAATTTGTTTGTAAAATTAAGTAACTACTAAAAGTACTTAAATAAAGTAGGTGGGTATAACTTTATTAATTGGATTTCCAGTTGCATATCGCGTGAATTCTGTGACCTAACTCAACTGTTTTTTTTTCTACTGTGTATTTATGATTTATGTTTCTTTGAATATTGTCTGGGTCAAATTACTGTTTCAATAAATTAACAATGAACATAGAGCTAGCTATATCATTTGTAGCATCTATTGTAGCGTGTTATTAAATTTAGTGAAATAACAAGTTTTTAAGTCGACAATAACTTCGTCAATGCAACATTAATGATTGGCTTGCAACATCAAACAAAAGCACCGGTTTTGGTTAGTTGCGGTTAAAATAATGTAGTGCAACTTAGCCTAATTCTTCCCCCTGCTGTCTAGTAATACTACCGCGGGTAGTCCACCTTCACCACTCAAGATTCCCTGTATCACAACACAATGCATTGCCCTCTAAGGGCTAAATTTCACCGGGACACCATGGTGGCGCAACCAGTCGCCGGCTACCAACAAAATGTATACAGCTCTATAGAGAGTTACTCACCTGGTGTCCGTTTGGTTGCGCAAAGCTGCATACATTTTGTTGGTAGCGGCGACTGGTTGCGCCGCCATGGTGTCCCGGTGAAATATAGCCTTAACGAAACTAACTCTGTATTTTCCAGTGTCCGGGCGTGCGGCGCGCCTCCCCAGTGATGTCGAAGAAGCCGGCGGCGGCGCCCACGCTTCACAAGGTGATCATGGTGGGCTCGGGCGGCGTGGGCAAGTCCGCGCTCACGCTGCAGTTCATGTACGACGAGTTCGTCGAAGACTACGAGCCCACGAAGGCAGACAGCTACAGGAAGAAGGTGAGCAAGCAAAGCGCAGGGAACATGACCACAAAGAGGACTTTCGAATAAGACCTTTAGAACCGCACGTTGATCCACCGTCATGCGCGTAATAGCGAACGGGCCAGAATGGTCTTCTTCATTTTTTCGTGTCGACAACAAACCTACACAGTGTCAGCCCAAAACTCCGCCACAAGAATGGTCTGTAGGCCTAAGATGCGCGCCGTGATAACTTTTATCGACGTCAAAATGTATGGGCAAAATCGATAAAATGGCGTGATAACCGCTTATCGCGGCGCGCATCTTAGGCCTACTGGTGATTTTGTAATATCGCATTTCAATCTTGTACTAATTGGAAATAAGATGAGACCAAAAAATGGTATTAAAATTGTGTTACAACAACGAATAAGACCTTATTATCTTGTTATTAAATTACAATAAGTTATCAACTAAAACTGATCTAAACCGTTAGACGAGTATGAAATTATCGATTTCCGTAGATTTAGCTTGTGCCATTATCAGTATTGAGCAAACAGGAGAGGCCGGAAAACATAAATCGGCTCTCTTTGAAGTTGAAGCGACACATTCGTGGACAAACCATGGAGGTGAACTAGTTCTCATATTTATCACTTTCTTTACTTTCTAAACATATTCTCTCTGATCATAATTTGTAATTATGGGATTTTAATGGGCTTTTAAAACGCATAATATTATTTCTGATTATAACAACGTTGTTTTGTCTGTTAAAACAAATGCATAGCGGAAACACATTATGTAACTGACATTCAAAAGCAACCAAAGTTAGTCAATGACGTCCTATTTACGAAGGCCCTAACAACAGTTAATCACGACTTAGCAGACAGTTGATATTCAAGTTAATTACCAGTGAATCAGATTAGAAACGGTAGCTTTCCACGTATAATACGGGTCACCGCGGCCGCTTTACATTTGACACTTAACCTTGCACGTATTTTTTTTTCTAGTGGTTTTACTATGTAGGAATAGTAAAGCCTATCTGAAAGTGGTAAATTCGAGCCCGGTCTAGATTGTTATGGGTACAAAATATTATGGATGTATAAACGTCAGACATTCAACATAATATTTTCATTTCTTTAGGCACTTAATAAGACTCAGACCTGTCACAAAAGATATGTGAGTCGGACGTATACAATATCTTTTTATTAAAAAAAAGAAAACAAATTGAAAGCCAAGGTTTGTATTATGTGACCACACTAACCTTGGGCAAAGAGCTGCAGTGTCTAGAGTAAATTGCAAGACGAGGTGAATTGCTCAATCCGCGAGTGATGACTTCACTCCGTGTCTGATGACGATGATAGCCCTAATTGGGCTGGGATTGGGAACGGATAAGATCTCAATTGTGATATCTTTTGCTATTCTGAACACGCATCTACCCACATACCATCCCGTCGTGTTTTAACTAAGAGACACGCTTAATTAAGACTAATGTATAAAGGACCTTGCTGATCCGATAGTCACCGCTATTAACGTGGTCCTTTGGGAGGCATTTCTTTTTTTCTGTCATACACGAAAAGTAGGTCCATCCATGGTAAAAGTAGGTTTAGGTAGACCGAAAGGTATCTATCTCTTGATTCACCAAGAAAGTAGCTGCATGGTAGCCGTATACTTAACATACTGCACGCATTCTGATCTACGTCCAAAAATGTATGTTCAGAATCTATAGTTCATATATTCTGAACATACATTTTTGGCTGTAGTGTATTTATGTGCTGAGGTGTGGTGTATGTTCTGCTTTCATTATTCGATAAGAAACAGCCTTGTGTGTAATGTGCCTAAAATCAGGCACGCATACTGAACTACGCCTAAAGCTTTAACCACACCAACACCAACAAAGGCCAATGACAAGTCGCGTGAACTGTCACTGGTCGCGCGACTTGTCATTGGCCTTTTTGATTGCGGCGGCGATGGTAATCTGCACGCGTTGGTGTGGCTGAAGCTTAAAAGGAGATTCAAAATACGGATCAGCAGACTATAGCTACACCTTATTTCGAACTCCTCCTATGTTCTTCTGATTAATTTCGTTGCGGGTCCAATGGGGGTTTAACTTTCCCCCGGGACAAACTTGACCTTCATTGGTTGGGTTTTTGTGGCGGTCAAGCTGTAGATCCTGGCTACACAGGAGTTGAAGTGGTGGGAACGAGAGGTGGGAATAGTCCCGTTTTATAGCTACAGCTGTGTCTTTTGTCAGGTGGTGCTGGACGGCGAGGAGGTGCAGATCGACATCCTGGACACGGCGGGGCAGGAGGACTACGCCGCCATCCGCGACAACTACTTCCGCTCCGGCGAGGGCTTCCTCTGCGTCTTCTCCATCACGGAACCTGAGAGCTTCGACGCCACGCAGGAGTTCAGGTCAGAGGGGTTAACTGACTTATGCCCGTACTCACAAAACGATGCTTGCTTAAGAGAAGCTCTGTGATTGGGCCGTGTCACCCTGTGCGTCCACGCGCACTGTGAGACCTCATAGTAATGTTTGTGAATACGGGCGCCAGTTTTAGGAGCTGACAAAACGCGATTCTTCTATTTTTTTGTTTATTGATACAAGCGAATAACGATACTTAATTAAGTAACTTTCATTTTATATTTTACGGCCTAACGGTCGAAGCACACTTAACAACTCGGAAAGGGATCGTCATCGTATCAACTCGAGCCGTTTAGTGTTCTTTGTTCCTAACCCCTTCGCTGATCCATTTACGTTAGAGAAAAGGCGACAAGATGACGATCCCTTTCTTATTTGATATGTGTGCTACGTTCGTTCCTTCGTTTCAGCCGAAAGACATCCACTGCTGGACAAAGGCCTCCCCCAAGGGTTTCCACAAAGACCGGTCCTGCGCCGCTCGCATCCAGGCACCTCCCGCGACCTTCACCATTTCGTCGGTCCACCTAGTGGGAGTCTCCGCCACGCTACGTCTTTCGGGTTCGTGGTCGCCTTTCAAGAACTTTCCTGCCCCAGCGGCCATCAGCTCTATTTATTTATTTCATTAGCTCTACGAGCTATGTGCCCCGCCCGCTGCCTAAATACGTGAATTCTGATTGACATTCCCGCACCATACGTCCGCAGAGAGCAAATCCTTCGCGTAAAGAACGACGAGAACATCCCGTTCCTGCTGGTGGGCAACAAGTCGGACCTGGCCGACAAGCGCCGCGTGCCGCTCGACGCCTGCCGCGAGCGCGCCGCCGCCTGGCAGGTGCCCTACGTCGAGACCTCCGCCAAGACGCGCGACAACGTCGACAAGGTACGCTAAACACATTATTTCTTCTGATTAACTTCGTTGCGGGTCCAATGACAGTTTAACTTTCCCCCGGGACAAACTTGACCTTCATTGGTTGGGTTTTTATGGCGGTCAAGCTGTAGATCCTGGCTACACAGGAGTTGCAGTGGTGGGAACGAGAGGTGGGAATAGTACGCATTACACACGATAGCCGAACTATGAGGCGTCAGACTAGCCGACTCATGATCCGAGGAACGCGGGATGGATCCCCGAAGCATATTTAGCTTGCCACGAGGGGTTAACGAGATTTAATTTATTTTATTTAGTAATTTGTATTTACAAATTGCTAATATTCTTTAAAAAAATGTTGTTTGGGAAAGTAGACATCTTTATCCAGAATCACCCGGTGACTAGTAAAGAGTACAATGCGCCTGGGTCTTGCTAGGTTTCTGGCTAAATTTCATAACACTAGCCGTTGGGTAACAAAGCAGTGGGTCCTATACACTTCAGAAAATAGATAGTGTTCGTTCGCTACGGTGTAGTAAACGACAAAATTACGAACAAATGTACAAGGTGGCAGAAGTGTCAAATATTTGGTCTCTTTAACCGCACTCTCCAATTATCAGCGTGAGTAAGCAAAACGCATTAACGGATCTTAGATTTTAGATTTTATCTTAGCACGCAGGCGGTAATGAGCAACAAGTTGGGCTGTGGCCAAACAACAGTTATCTAAGTCGAACAATCGGGCTCCAGTGCTACTGCGAATATCTACTACTTTCGAGCGATTGTCCTGATACATATTACGAGTATTGAAGTCGTGAAATAGTGCGTCATCATAACTCTGAGCTCATAACGCGTTCTCTCACCCAATCAACAAGGTTTAAGCGCTGTAAACGGCATAGCATTAACGATAAACGTTTATAAATCCCAAATATTTCATGAACTCAAAGCCCTTGGTAACTTAGAACCGCCAAATATAACTATTTCTTATTTCTATAAACCGAGATACTGTGTTTATTATTTTAAATTAATTAACAAACTGAGCTAAGCCTGAGCATGCTCGCACGCTTCCAAGTACTGGTAGTTCCCGCGGCTCCGCTCGGCTTAGTTTTATCATACTTACAGCTGTGTGCTTTGCTAGACGAATGCTTGCGATTCTTTGACACTTTTCTTGAATATTTAATTGACATTTTAAAAATAAAGGAACAGTGTCACAGATTACCTAATACTTTTAATTCTTCCTATATCCACCATATTTTAAGTCACGCAAAGCACACAGCTGCTACATAAATGTCAGTCCGGAATCGTATGGTTATTTGGTTGTGGGGTTCATCTGGGGAATCATTTTTCTAAATTGTGTGGGGCTTATTTTCCAAAATATGTATGTAGTTTGTATGTCATGGTTTTCCTGTGGTCTGTTTAATACATGTGATAATTTGACAAATTATACATAGAATAAACGACAGTTTAACAATACTGTTGGTTTCTATCGTATACGTCGAATTGTTTGTGACGTTTTGAAACCTATGACATAAGTGTTGATTCGTCATGAAAATTCGGTATACGAGTCTAAAACTGACTAAGGGCTGATTTTTCGATCGTTGGCTGAGTTTTAACTGAAGAATAGAACTGTCATTTTGATTTATTTCCCATACTGAAACTGTTAATATGCCAAACTTATTCTTCAGTTAAAAGTTATCCGGCTATTGAAAAATCAGGCCTAAGTGTGTCGTTTAGTGACGTCACCATTGTATGTCGCGTTGTCTCTTTTATTAAACGGGCCTCCGGGCTCCGGGCGGTTGTGGTGTGTGTGTGCTGACGGGTGCGGTTGTGTGCAGGTGTTCTTTGACCTGATGCGCGAGATCAGGTCGCGCAAGTCGGACGACACGCGCGCCACCAACGGCGACGTCAAGAAGAAACGCAGGAAAATCATCAAGTGCGCCATATTGTAGAGCTCCCAGCCGGGCGCCCCGAGTGTACTGTGACTAATTTTACGCTGTGCTTCACGCTCTTTTGGTCTCACTGGATTACATTCATTTCGTGTAGAAACAAACCTTGGGGAATTCAATTTTTTTCAAACAAGACAGTAACAAATTCTCGCAACAGCATACACTTTGTGTTGTTGTTCGTGCGCTAAACGAAACAGAAAAATCTAAATGATTAGTTGATGATTGGATTCCGTAAGATTTGATTCATTATTTTAAACTTTATTTTAGTAAGCATTGCAAGATTTAGTAGTCACAAGTATGTTTTGATATTGTATTGCGAATGCAGATTATTTTATAAACAAATGCAGTTGAGAACGGTTCTCATCGAGAATACTCTATTCAATGGAATTTTAATGTTAAGGAAATTATTTATTTTCGAATGGCCACTCATTAGAATTGTTTTCACAAGATGTTTTGAAGTAGTATCTCACCGATATAAGGTTTACGAAGCCCATATAGAAGGGACTTATACCCGAGTCGCGGGTAGAACTCCGGCCGCCGCGCTTCGCTTCTGTTCGGAATCGCTGCCATACTATCCTCATCCTTACTACGCACGTAGTAAGAATTAAATGCAAACCAGTATGGCAGCGAAGCCTGATTTACTCTAGGTTTAAGCGGCAAAGGTTATGTGAGGACCATGGCAGACATGTTACTTTTAGCGTGGACGATTTTGCGACCGGCATCGATGCAGTAGTGTGTGTGTGTCAAAGTAGTATTGGCTGGTTTGATGATCAGCCGCCAGTCGTCGGTCGTTGGCGCTCAAAGCATCATGTCCGCCGCAGCCCTATTGTACTATGATATTCGCCCATTTTGGTGCTGGCATTTTTTGGATGCCGCTCCAGACCGACGGTGTCGGGCGGCATCCCCCTATTGTTATTATTAAGCTTTGTGCTTGCACGTTGTTTTGTATGACGATTTGTAATTTCATCATTCTAAAATGCAAAATGAAACACGGATAACTGCGGGCGGACTGGGGAGTGCCTCAGGGTTCTGTGATGGGCCCTGTCGTTCACGATGTGTCTGGTTTCCCGCAGTCCGCCCGCGCAGATTAGATTGCCATTAGTTGTCCGCAGTGACCCGTCTGACAAACGGTGTAGCGTAAGATTTTGTATTTATTTTAAATGGTAAGTGCTAATTGTATCGTGTAATGTGTTGATTGGAGTTGTTGTCCTCTTCAGTGTTTGCAGAAATATGATACTCGGTGGTTATAAACCTTGATATAAATGTAAAAGGTCCAATGTTGCTTATGGAATAATTGATATTGGTTGATACTGAAAGCGCAACAAATTTTGGAATGTCATGGAATCGGAATGATTGGATATTTCTGCAGGCACCGCGTAGTGTGTGATCGTCTGCACTGCTCGTGGATGTGGTCGGCCCGCGGTGTCGCTTCACGAGACTGCACAGTAGATTCAGCGTACTATCGTCAGATGTTTTCTGTTCTTATTCTTATACTAAACACAAACTCACAGTGAATGTTAGAATGTACAACTATCGAAAATAATTATTTTAACGTAACTATTAGGGCTGTCATCCTGACTGTTCTAACTAGTAGTTTCATGAGAAATACCATCGAAATAATAATAAAAAAAGAAACAGATTTTTTTAAACCATTCCAAAATGACAGCCTTAAACTGCTCAATCAAATACAATATTAAATCTAACAATAAAGTAAATAAATAACATTTTCACACATAATGATAATTATTATGAATATAACAATAAATACACGAATAGTCCCGACTTTGGCAACCAAAGTGGCAGGAACGCAGGAGTACTATGAAGCGGTAACCGAATGGATGTTAGACATGTGCTAGCTATATAACATTACGGTAATGTATGTGATTTGAAATGCAATTCGTTAACACGGAACTTGATCAACGAACTGTTGGTGACTCATAGACGTTTATTGGAAGATATGCCATCACTGTTGTCGTTGATTTCATATAATAATAAATAAGAATACAATAACAATGATTTTACTTGCTATGTAAAAAGATAAAAAATGTGATTTATGCGGGAATAAACTCTACAGTGAAGAAAGTAGAAACTATTATTTATGTCATTCAAACTCGTAATACCGTATTTTTAGCAGCATTCTTATTGCCTTGTAAGAAAAGGGCTGATCTGCATTATTTTTGTTTTTATATGAAATCAATGATTATGAAATAAGAAATAGTAATATACATACATATATTTTTATTCACTCCATATAATATACCTACCAGGGAATAGGGTTAACGCGGCATTTATAGCAATAACCTCGGACTAGCATAATACGTCCCGACACGACACACTAGGTTACATGAGGGGCCAGTGTCGCGCGGGCTCGTACTGCCAACGTAGTGTCGTAGTATCCACGCGATATATTATATTGAGGCCTAGTCCACGTGATTCCTGACACTTCAGTGCCTAAAACGAATTTTTAAATTATTTTTGTATGAAGACAATAGATGTTTTTTTTAAATGACATAATAAGATCAGTTTTGTTTTATTTTTGAAGGTGATGGAAGCAAGTGGACTTCAAATTCTATGATTATTAATCTGTAAAGTAAAAGATTAATATCATAGAATATGATAGAGGCACATCGTATTTTGTACCTACTCGAATGTACTGAAGGTTTTCCTATAGGTTAGTTTTAGTTTACAAATGTATGGAGTATCGATCTGTGTATGAAATGTATATCAGGCACTCACCGGAACAAATTTATAATGGTACGAAAAGATAAGCAGAAATATACTGATTTGCAAAATTACTGTTTATTTATTGAGCTGATTTGTTTGTTAATTTTGTATATTTTGAAAAAAAAAACTTCATAATGTTTTATTACGTTTTATAACGTGTCAATATTTTCAAATTAAAATTGTAATTTTTAAAGTGTAAATATAACCATTTGTAATTCTGTAATTCAACTGTCGGAAAAAAGCCAAGTAATGTTAAAGCTATCAAAAAACGCAATGAATAAATGCAGTGTGCTGGACTGTGTACATCATAAGTAACTGAAAATCCCGTCAAGAAACGAAACAATAAATTGCGATTTAGATAGTAGCAGTCTCTCTAAAAATAACAAGATATTCCATATTGCCATTATAAGAAATAATGTATTTTTTTTAATTTCCCCCCTTGCGGTAAGATCTGCCCTCTTACTAAAAAAAGTTTTACACGCGTTGAACATTAGTTTAATTTGACATTCCCATACTAAACGTCATATTAAACAAGTGTTCAACGAGTCTGTAACTTTTATTAGTAAGGGGGCTACAAACTTCTTGACGGGTAGCCCAGCCAGCGTTCCAACTACCCTACAGTCCCTTCCTAACCGCTGTCCGCAGGCGTTCCTGACGCTGATCCGCGAGATGTCGCGCCAGAAGAAGGGGCTGGCGGCGGCGGAGCCCGTCGAACACTCCGCGCGCAAGTGCGGGCCTGCCTGCTGCACCATCTGCTAAGGAGACCTACAGCCACTATCTTTGCTGAATGAAGGATTTCATCCGTCTGCCAGAAAGAGTTTAGAAACATTCTCCATTAAAGCCAGATTTATATTTGTCTGACGTTGTCATGACACATCAGAACGGAATCGATTTCATACATTACTTAAGCGACACGTTTGAAGATGTCACGACACGAGACAATGCGACGCAACACTAGTGCATAAAGCCGCTTCCGTTCTGATGCATTACAACAGAACACGTCATCAGACAAATATAAATCCCGCATTAGTTTAAGAATTGTAAGACGTTTTTCTATCATTCGTTGGAGATAAAAAAAAAGTTTGATAGTATTGTTTTTCTGATAGGCGACATGGACATGTACATTTCTCATTTGTTCGGTGTCGGCTAATGGAAAAACTTCCTCTGAGCAATTATTGGAACATTCTCATATCTTAACGACGGTTCATTCCCGTTGTCCCCACCAGGCTTGTCTGCACTAGTGGGGACAACGGGAATAAACCCCAATAACAAATGAGTAAAACTTTGACTTTTGATACTTGTATGCCTGATCTTGTACTGGTAAGAAAGAGACAGTACAATGACTGCCACAAACAAGTGATATCGTTTTTAAAGATATAAGCTCAATTTTAATAACTTTCCCTGTCTCCCCTCAAAAGAAATCGGTGGTTTAAAGCAGTGTTTTTCAATCTGTGGGTCGCGACCCCCTGGGGGGTCGCGAAGCCTCTATAGGGGGGTCGCGAAGCCTCTATAGGGGGGTCGCGAAGCCTCTATAGGGGGGTCGCGAAGCCTCTATAGGGGGGTCGCGAGAGGTCGTAAAAACTACTTCAGTAAAAAAAATTCTTTTAATGCAGATAAATCCGAAATCTAATTATAATAAACAAAATTTTTCATACTAGGGGGGTCGTGTCATGAAAAAGGTTGAAAAACACTATTCACTATTACACACCATATCTCAAGAAGGGTCAGTGGTACACTTTAGTCACAACGTGATGTGGATGTGTAATCTTTATCTTTTAGCAGAATAATGCTGAAAAGACTGCTATGTAGATTTTTGAAATATTTTTAAACGACACGAGAAACCATTTAAACTTGACGCACACATGATGTATTTGTAAGAATATAACAATTCGGACGAAATTCTTGAAACACAATGATTCAGAATATTATGCAAATACATCATGTCTAGTTGCATACTGTGATCAATGAAACACTGCAAAATAAGAATAAAAGCACCATTCAGCCTAAAATAACGATATTATGTATTTATAGCCTTGACTGAGCAAGCAAAAGTACAAGATGAGCTGCATGTTGCCATTTTTTAATTATTATATATTGATAAGGACATAATATAATGTATAAAATAAAACTGTAAATATTTAAAATATCGATTTTTATTGACCCTTTGTATAAAAGCTTATATCGTATTATAAAATTACAACAATAATTCAGTCTGTACATTCTTATCTAGGCATAATCAATCCCTCTTATAATCTAAGCTTTTATTATATAGGATAATTACATATACACTCAGCGGCACGGAATTTGGCCCAAGCCTAAACACNACACTGTATATGATTTATGCGGGAATAAACTTTACAGTGAAGAAAGTAGAAACTATTATTAATTTATGTCATTCAAACTCGTAATACCGTATTTTTAGCAGCCTTCTTATTTGCCTTGTAAGAAAAAGGGCTGATCTGCATTATTGTTGTTTTTATATGAAATCAATGATTATGAAATAAGAAATAGTAATATACATATATTTTTATTCACTCCATATAATATACCTACCAGGGAATAGGGTTAACGCGGCATTTATAGCAATAACCTCGGACTAGCATAATACGTCCCGACACGACACACTAGGTTACATGAGGGGCCAGTGTCGCGCGGGCTCGTACTGCCAATGTAGTGTCGTAGTATCCACGCGATATATTATATTGAGGCCTAGTCCACGTGATTCCTGACACTTCAATGCCTAAAACGAATTTTTAAATTATTTTTGTATGAAGACAATAGATGTTTTTTTTAAATGACATAATAAGATCAGTTTTTTTTTGTTTTTTTGAAGGTGATGGAAGCAAGTGGACTTCAAATTCTATGATTATTAAATCTGTAAAATAAAAGATTAATATCATAGAATATGATAGAGGCATATCGTATTTTGTACCTACTCGAATGTACTGAAGGTTTTCCTATAGGTTAGTTTTAGTTTACAAATGTATGGAGTATCGATCTGTGTATGAAATGTATATCAGGCACTCACCGGAACAAATTTATAATGGTACGAAAAGATAAGCAGAAATATACTGATTTGCAAAATTACTGTTTATTTATTGAGCTTGATTGTTAATTTTGTATATTTGAAAAAAAAAAACTTCTGTCAATTTTCCAATTTAAATTGTAATTTTTAAAGTGTGAATGTGGTTAACCATTTGTAATTCTGTTATTCAACTGTCGGCAAAAAGCCAAGTTATGTTGAAGCTATGTAATAAATGAGCAGGGCGCTGGACTGCGTCTTTTGCAAAGTAACTGAAAATCCCGCCAAGAAACGAAATTTAAATAAGCAAGATATTCCATATTGCCATTTTAAGAAACTAAAGTTATTTTGAAACTTTCCCCTTTCGTTATTAGAGATAACGAAGTTAGACAAAAAACACGTCTTAAGATCTGCCCCCTTACTAAAAAAAGTTTTACACGCGTTGAACATTAGTTTAATTTGACATTTTCATACTATACGTCATATTAAACAAGTGTTCAACGAGTCTGTAACTTTATTAGTAAGGGGGCTACCATATCTTCTTGACGGGTACCCCAGCCAGCGTTCCAACTACCCTACAGTCCCTTCCTAACCGCTGTCCGCAGGCGTTCCTGACGCTGATCCGCGAGATGTCGCGCCAGAAGAAGGGGCTGGCAGCGACAGAGCCCGTCGAACACTCCGCGCGCAAGTGCGGGCCTGCCTGCTGCACCATCTGCTAGGAAGACCTACAGCCACTATCTACCTATCTTCGGTTAATGAAGGATTCCATCTGTCTGCCAGAAAGAGTTCAGAAACATTCTCCATTAAAGCCAGATTTATATTAATTGTCTGACGTGACATGACGCATCAGAACGGAATCGATTTCATACATTACTTTAGCGACACGTTTGAAGATGTCACGACACGAGATAATGTGACACAACACAAGTGTATGAAGCGATTACGTTCTGATGCGTCATAACACAATACGTCATCAGACAAATATAAATCGCGCATTGAATTAACATTTGTAAGATGTTTTTTGAGATAAAAATAATTACATTTTTACTTCTTGCGCTTGACACAGTCAGTACCTGAGGCATGGGAGCGGCACGGGAGGGTGTTTTTGAGACGTCACACGTCAGCGAGACTTCAGATTTGTATGCTCTCGTCACGTCATAATATGCCAATGTCACTCCTCTCTTGCCGCTTCTAACCCTCAGGCACTGAGTTAAGCGTTAAACCTGTAGTATTGCGGAAGTCTTTCTGATAGCCGACATCGACATGTACTTTTCTCATTTGTTCGGTGTCCTGTCGACTAATGGAAAAACTTTCTCCGAGCAATCATTGAAACATTCTAATGTCCCAATGATAGGTAAGACAGGAAGGATTATTGATAAGCACTAACTTTATCTTCTCATACATAGTATGCCTGATCTTGCACTGGTAAGAAAGAGACAGTACAAGACTGCCACAAACAAGTGATATCGTTTTTAAAGATATAAGCTCAATTTTCGCGCAGACTACTTTGTATGTGGCTGATGTTTAAATTAAGGACAATTTTTTTGACGTCATAACTTCCCCTGTCTCCCCTCAAAAGAAATCGGTGGTTTAAAGGATCAGTATTACACACCATATCTCAATGATGTGTAATCTTTATCTTTTAGCAGAATAATGCTGAAAAGACTGCTATGTAGATTTTTGAAATATTTTTAAACAAAAGACACGAGAAACCATTTAAACTTGACGCACACCATGATGTATTTGTAAAAATATAACAGTTCGGACGAAATTCTTGATTACACAAAATGATTCAGAATATTATGCAAATACATCATGTCTAGTTGCATACTGTGCTCAATGAAACTCTGCAAAATAAGAATTATAGCACCATTCAGCCTAAAATAACGATATTATGTATTTATAGCCTTGACTGAGCAAGCAAAAGTACAAGATGAGCTGCATGTTGCCATTTTTTAATTATTATATATTGATAAGGACATAATATAATGTATAAAATAAAACTGTAAATATTTAAAATATCGATTTTTATTGACCCTTTGTATAAAAGCTTATATCGTATTATAAAATTACAACAATTATTCAGTCTGTACATCCTTAATTAGGCATAATCAATTCCTCTTATAATCTACGCTTTTATTATATAGGATAATTACATATATTTACATTATTTCTTATCATTATCTCGGGTTAATCATCGTTAAATTTATATGTTAAAATTAAAATTATGCTTATTATTTCTTGTTTCCACTTAGGACATGAAGCGTCTTCTTATAATAATTGTCAATATAAAACCTTCTGAATTGTCTTCACGTTAATATAATATAATTAACGTGAGGATCGTTCAAACTGTATTAATTTTTATATTTAGATCGTAATAATAAAGCAATAAAACGTGAAATATTAAGTTTGAAAAAAAAATGAACTGTCAAGACTAGGTTGTAATGACTAGTCGTGTTAAAAATGAATTTTATCTTTTAAAGCCGTGGAACCTTTCTAATTTCCTGTTGAATCTAATATTACAGCTGGCATTGACCTGCATAACTGGGGTGGGCTGTCCGATCCCCAGTATCGTTAACCTCTGGTTCCAACAACGGTTATAGTTAACCACCAGGTCACAGCTTACAGCCCTGTGTGTAGAGACGGACGGATGCTTGCGAGCGTTTAGCCAGAGTAAATACAAATGAGTAGGTCATCTTCATAGAAACGCCCGAGCGCGGTTTGTATGTGAGCGCGCCAATACGTATGCGGCGCGCACGCACACACTGACAAAATTTAGCGGTGAGGTGCACTGAATTTTGTCAGTATGTGCGTGCGTGCCGCATACGTAATTTTTTTTTTTTCCTTGGACATTTTACACTGCGCTTCTAGTCCCAAACTAAGCAAAGCTTGTACTATGGGTACTAGACAACGGATATAAACATACTTAAATACTTTTTTTTTGTAAATACATACATATTATACATAGAAAACACCCAGTCCAATACAAACAAATATGTTCATGCACACAAATGTTTGTACTGTGCGGGAATCGAACCCGCAACCTCCGGAATAGTAGTCCGTTTCGAACCACTACACCAAACGGCCGACAAGGCGCCGCTAATTGGCGCGCGCTCACATACAAACCGCGCTCGGTGCGTTTCTATGTTGTATTTACTCTGGTCTGGTTTAGCCGACTGCAGATAGCCCCTAGAGCTGGCAGCGGTGGCCGCAGCCGGCCGGGCAGAGCTGGTGGCGCTCCATCCAGCGCCGCATGTGGTGCAGGTGCCCGCCGTGCGAGCAGCCCTGGCACCACGCGTACAGCCCGCGCACCACCTGCCGCAAAAGGTACGATAAAGTTGCGATTTACTTATGCTCCACTAGTTATAGATCGTTTCATCTAAGAAGACGCGCCCCACTATTCTTCCGCTAATGTTTGAGTGTTATCGGTACCGCTAAATCATCCATGAATGCACACGCACACTACAATAATGACGCTTGGATTGCTCGGATCAAACACTTCGCACCACGCGCTTCCCTCGACCAAAAATTGGTGGGGCGCGTCTTCGTCGATGAAACGAACTATAGCGCCACTGGCGAGTCAGGTCACCTGTCACTTGATTGTGGCTGATTCAGCGGCACCAACTTGTGAGAGCTGAAGCGGTAGGAAAATTACCGCATTTGCAATAACCAGGTTGGCGCTCCTGTCATGTATTGGCAACTCGCCAACGGCGGCAACTGATGAACCGAACTAAGGAGACTTATCCCTAAGGATTACCTCAGCTGTTGGTAAAGTGTACAGGGTAAAAACGTCAGTAGTGTCGAAAGAGATCATCCTTGTACCTGGTGGCAGACGCAACACAGTACCTGGTGGCAGACGCAGCACAGGTCGGGCAGGTGGCGCGGCTGGCAGCGGTCGCAGGCGGCGTGCGGCCGCGTGCGGCGCCCGCAGCGTCCGCAGCACATGGCCACCGACGTCGACTGCTGCGACAGCGACCACACGCTGCTCAGCCACGCGTTGCGGATCACCTGGACACCACACAGTGATAAGAACATGGTCACACATACAAAAGTGGCGACTCATGACGTTTTGCATAATGTCATAACTTTTTAAAGTTATGATTGGCGATAACGATTTCTTTACTAACTAATCGCGCACTCACCTCGGTAGCGACGTTCCACAGTTTGTGTCGTTGCAGCAGCTCGATGTAGCCCAGCAGCCATTGTTCTTGCAGGCTCTCGTCAATGTACGGGAATAAGTCACTCCTATAATAGAACAATTAAAGGTTAACGCTCATTTAGAATAAGAGAGTAGATGTTCTTCACAATTTGTACTGTTAATTGTGAAAAATGTAAAACGTTAAAATAACGGTATCGTGCTGTCACAGTGACATTGACGTAGTAATGTCAATATCACACTAGAAACGTCAGAATAGAGTTGCGCTAGAATTCTGTGGAGGGTAGTTGAACGGGAAGCATAATCGATCTGTTTTAATGGTTTTAATGTATTTATTTAATGGAATTTAGTGTAAAAATTTGGTGTTATTTTGTGTTCTAGAGTGTAGTGAAATGATAAATATATGAAAACATTGACTTACACCTACCTTACCTATGTTCTTCACAATTTGTACCTGCATTCTTCACAGTGTGTACCAGTGTTTTGTGTTCTTCACAGTGTGTACCCGTGCTAGTGAATGACAGTGTATGTCAGTGCTCGTCAACGTATGTCACTGTGGTGAAGTATCAACAGAGTAAATACAAATGAGTAGGATTTATCGTGGATTAGCGGGGTGTTGCGCCGAATTTTGTCAGTGTGTGCGTGCGCGCCGCATAAGTATTGGCGCGCTCACATACAAACCGCGCTCGGTGCGTTTCTATAAAGATGACCTACTCATTTGTATTTACTCTGGTATCAACGTGCGTCCCTACCTGTGCTAGTGTCGCATGTACCTGTGCTCGTGCAGCGCGAGCATGACGGCGGCGGCGGTCTGCACGTCGCCCAGGTCGGCGTGCTGGCGCAGCGCGGCGCCCAGCAGCGGCCGCGCGTCCCTACCTGTGCTAGTGTCGCATGTACCTGTGCTCGTGCAGCGCGAGCATGACGGCGGCGGCGGTCTGCACGTCGCCCAGGTCGGCGTGCTGGCGCAGCGCGGCGCCCAGCAGCGGCCCCTGTGCTAGTGTCGCATGTACCTGTGCTCGTGCAGCGCGAGCATGACGGCGGCGGCGGTCTGCACGTCGCCCAGGTCGGCGTGCTGGCGCAGCGCGGCGCCCAGCAGCGGCCGCGCGTCCCTACCTGTGCTAGTGTCGCATGTACCTGTGCTCGTGCAGCGCGAGCATGACGGCGGCGGCGGTCTGCACGTCGCCCAGGTCGGCGTGCTGGCGCAGCGCGGCGCCCAGCAGCGGCCACACGTCCACCAGCGCGCGCCCGCCCTGCCCCGCGCCGCCCACGGCCAGGGCGCCTTCGCCCTCCTCCGTCTGGCAGAAACAATAGACTTTGAGGTTTGATTTCTTCTTCTTCTTTTTTGATGATGTTGGCAATACACGTCGAGGTCAACACATTTTCAAGTATTTATGTGATACGAGTTACAAAATGAGATCAAGTAATGATATAATGAAGGATGTTAGATGATACCCCTTCCCACCCTTTGAGTCTCAGTAAAGTTGTGGTGCTTTACTGAGACCTCCTCCTGTGGACAACTTGAGAGAACCAGAAGAATCACGATGCACTGCTTTGCTTCACTTGCCCACACTCATGCACGTTCACGAACACTTATGACTTAATGGTTAATAATCTACCATTATTACACATTAATAGTCGCCCAAACACGAATTTGAGGAAATAAAACAAAAGCGCTAACATGACGCTTCAGATTCCCGCCAAGAAGTCGAGGTTTGATTTATTTTGATTTTTAAACCTTCTGACAGTTTACATTTGATTACAAACTTTATGAGAAAACCGTCTGGTTTTCACTTGGCAATCACATGATTAAAAAGTGCCATTCCATCGCTGCAAAAAAAGAGGAAGACAGACCAATTGGATGACTAATATCCGAAAGGACATGAAAGAATTGAGACTTCACTAACAAGACGTTCAAGATAGAGCGCGTAACGGGATAAGGCGAGGCAAAAGAAGATTTGACCAGAAACGTACGATGAAAGTGGACCGTGCCGAATAAAAAGTAAACTTACCGCGCTGAGGTCGGCGTGCTGGCTGCCCTTGTCGCTGCCGGTGCTGCACGACGACGGCGGCGAGCTGCCCGCGCCCAGCGGAGACACCGCCGCCGTCACCGTCGAGCCCGAGCCTGCAACACAGCGAGGAAACAGGCTATCAATCTAGAGTAGTTACTACATCGTTTATTCTTTGAACTAAGGGCACCAGACCAAAACCATTCTGGGGTGGGAACGGCCTCCTGTTATATTCGCGAATGGTCACACCTAACAAAAAGTATACCAATTGCCTTGGCCGGTGGTACGTCCCCTGTTGTTAACACACAACAATCATTGCATTTCGTATACAAGAGATTTTTTCGAATGGGCGTGGCTAGCCAAATTCTAGTGTACAGATGCAAGGTCATCACGTGGTGACTGTCACTGTCAAAAGCTGATATTGGCATCAGCACTCCAGACTATATGCTTGCTACTTTGTTTCGTACATCATATTAAAATTTTATTTTCTCAAAATACGTTGTGTAAAAGTTGCGCACGTGATATTGGCGGAACAGCGTGCCCAGTGGCGAAAAAACACAAGTTCATCACCATTCATCATTAACAAAAGAAGAAGAGAAAGACTAGATATCACAGGTTGAGATAGCGTTGCTTGCTGTGTGTTCAGTGAGCGTGTAGGAGTACACCAGACTATAGTCTGGTCCGGGAGCACGTAGAATTTTGTCCAATGACCCTAAGCTACCCATCCTTATCGCTCGCGCGTAATTATATTGCTGTCGCGATTGTGCGACGCGCGCCCGCAGTGAGTGTTGCGAGCGCGACTACAACATAATTACGCGCGAGCGATAAGGATGGGTAGCTTGGGGTCATTGGACAAAATTCTACGTGCTCACAGACCAGACTATAGCTGCCTGCTTCAAGCTTGAGTGAGCGTCGTTAGTACCTGTGTGTTCAGTGAGCGTAGCTGACGCGGGTGCGAGCGGCGGCGGGTGGGGCTGGTGGGGCGGCCGTCATCAGCACACCAGACTAGCTGGCACAGCTTTCAGCTTGAGATACCGTTGCTATTACCTG